TGCTGATAATTATCTGGATATATGCGCGTAATTCGAGCCCCATCTCTTCAAAATCAAAAATGGCGATGGCTATCAGTTGGGTTAGTGGTGATTGGCGTCGTATTTCCCTCAATTGGTCCTGGCTATGGTCAGATATCGACTTTGACCATACGAACGGGGTCAGGGCCTTTTTGGCACGTTCTCAACAAGCTCCCTTGGTCCTCAGGCTACAGCTCGAACGTAGCATGGGCCCGGCCGTTTCCGGGCAGCTTCACCGCGCCCAAGATGTCCACTTCTCGTACGGTGTCAACGATACCGATCCGGAAGCATATATAGACTTGGCCAGGTGCTGGTCCTCACCATCTCCCGCATTGGACACACTCTCCCTCACTAGGACCAACCTCCCACCCATTCTATCCACCCACTCATCTTCGTTACGGTCCCTGTCGCTCACGGGCTGCGCCTTTGGCACACTCTCTCCATTGTCCGGTTTGACAACTCTCGCTATCTCCCGCCCAACCCAGTTGTTTCTGGCAACCGATTTCCTCGGCACACTGCAACGACTACCCAACCTCGTAAATTTATCCCTGGACCATGTTTTTTCCGGCACCATTTCGCCCTTTACCTCTCCTCCTGTCCAGCTACCGAAATTACAGGCCCTAAATATCGCAGAGCCAGACCGAGATCCCATTCTGCACTTATTTCAAAACGTCTCTATCCCAGGAACTACTGAAACAACGCTAACCATCAGCCCCGCCGTAGGAGAGTTCAATTCTCCTGACGTCCTGACCTCCTACCAGGCTTGTAGGACTTCTCCTTCCCCTATCCATACCCTGGCAGTGACGAGGTCCATACTGGCATCCGAAGTCAGAACTTCCTCTGAAATCAAAATTCTCGAACAAAGTCCCCATTCCTCCACAAGTACCACCATTTTCTTAGGCCACGCCTTCGATTTCAATCCATTTACCCAATCTTCGACTCTCAATCTCTCTTCTTTACAAAGGTTGGATCTCACTTTATCCGGAGGTCTTTCCAGGCGCCATCGCCGCCCGGGGATCAGCGAAGATGATTGGACCACTTTTTACGGAAACCTCCCAAATTTGCGCGTTGTCAAAGCTGCCGGTTTCGCAGCGTATCTTGTCTTGGACATTCTCGCGAAGGAAGGGCGCAATGCCCAAAGCTCTTATAAGGATTTGTTGCCCCCCGCATTACAACCAGAACCCGTCTCAATCCCGGACCTTGACGAAGGTGACACCACGCCGCCAAGTCAACCTGAGTCGTCAGCGCCTCAACCTCGGATGCCATTATCGTGGAAAGCATTGCGGGAGCTTACTTTGATCTTCCCCGCCGAGGGGACGCTTTTCACGCGTGATGCGATTGACGGGAGGCACCTTCTCGTCGATCTTGTAATTCGGAAGGAGATTGGGATAGGACTGACTTGTATCTGGTATTCAAGTTGGCCTACTCCGAGTTCGGCCCGGTTTTTGAAGGAGGTGGTGGACGATGTATTGGAACTGGAGCCATGAGGACGGTTGCGAGTCTGTAGGATTAACTTTTGAGTATTTTTTATATAGATGGTACCACTACTATTACTATGTTACAGTAGATCGGAGGAGAAGTGATCGTATATACCTGATTTGATTGTGGGCTGCATTGAGGAGTCAGATAATTAATTGGTGATAACCAGATATAGGATCGGAATAAGAAGTTCGATAGTTAGAAGACGGATAATGTTCGGAACATTGTGTCCTGATGTCCGATCCTGACTGGTAATCCCCACGTTGGCTTGACTTTGGCTTTCTTTCCGTCCACCGCGATGGAAAACCTGCAAAGTACGTGTAAAGCACAACCCCCAGCGGACTTTGTGAAGAACGGGTCCCTCTAGACGACTCAAGTGAGGGAGATCTCTATCCGATTTTCCCGCCAGAAATAGAACACAAGATCTTTGTAGCAGCATTCGACGGTGATCAGGAGATGTCGAATATCGGGCCACTTTTACTCGTGTCAAAGAGGGTTTATGAATGGTGGGTACATTGCCTGGAGGCTTCTATCGTATGGATCATGTTACTTTCCCTTAGGCTGCTTCCTCTCGTATACGAGATCGTCAGCACCTACCCAGGTTCCTTCAAGTGGCCACCAATGACTCTGCCAATAAAGAACCTTCCCCGGTTTGGCAAATACGTTCGCCACCTCCTTCTCGACTTCACACAAGTTGGGACTTCCGCCATTTACTTTACCGATTGTCCAAATGTGGTCGATCTCTGCCTCGTCGGATGGGATGGCACGGGGTTACCCACATTGCCATGCCTCAGACCAACAGAACTTAGTGTGAACTTGGATGAATTTCCAAAGGTTCCAGAAATCATCCCGTTCTGTACCAATGTCACCCACCTTGACTGTGCGTACGACGAGTGGAAACACTTCATCGGGCCTTCGAACTGGTTCTCTTATTTCCCCAACCTGACGCACTTGATGGTTCGCGGGGATTCGCTCCAGGATCAGAGGGAACATGTGGACCTTGTCTTTCAACAATTGCAGAATCTGCAAGTCTTCATCCTTTGCCACTACCCGAACTCGGATCTGCCTGGATTGAAGATGGTGGAATCGGATTATGTATACCCTGATCCACGAATCGTTCATTTGTCTCTTCGATTTCCACTTCATTGGAAGACAGCAGCTCAGGGCATTCTCTCCCCGTGGTTGTTTGCTGAAGAGGTCGTGAAAAAGAGGCGAGATGGCGTGATATAATCACGAATGTAAACGATTCAGAGGACCATTTGTGCATTACTTACAGTATACGGGGCTGCAGGCAAATGTATCGATTCGTGTCAAAAAGGAGGGAGATATGTTCCTTCGAGTCAATCCGACGTCTTATGCAATGCCTCCTTCAAATTCCAACGCTTCCCAACCGTCTCATCTGCCAACCCCCACACTCCTTGCCCATCCTTTACATCTAATAACCAATTCCTCACCGGATTATTATTCCTCATCGTTATGTTCATTCTCACCACCCTCGGATCATCGACACTCGGCTTAAATCCGCCAACCACCTTAAAAGCAGTACCATGTTCCCATAATACCAACGCCTTCAACGTTGGATAACATCTGAGAATGAAGACAACGATTGTTTTGTCATAAGGATTAGGAATGGCCAGGTGAGTAAGGGAAGTAAACCGTGTGGGCCTTTCGTGTTCGAGGGTACTGTTGACGATAGTGAGGTGGGTGATTCGAGAGAAGAGGGGATATAACTCCGGTGTTGATTTTGGAAGACCCGTCGTGTCGGTTGAGAGATGGGTTAGAGGGAGATGGGACATTCTCGCGAGGTGAGTTCGATCCGGATGGTTTTGAGTCCAGAGAACCAGGTTAGTTATGTTGGGACATAAGCAGATGTATTGATCTTGTGAGATTGGTCCGTTATAATATGCAGACATCCAGACGAAGAGATGTTGAACATGTTTCCCGTAAATTTCGAGGGAATTGAGTTGCCACTGAAGAGGATATTTTCGAGAAGGCGGAATCCTTTGAACGGCTAGTGTTTGGAATATTTTGGGAATGAGCCTTCAATAAAGCATGATCCTTAAGGTAATCGTTCAAGTAGGTTGGTGTGACATACCATTCGTAAACTCGTTTTGCTACCAGGATTAGATCGACGACATCTCTACCGTTGTTCTCTAGCTTCGGTTCGAGAGCGATTGTGAAGATGTTGTATTCGATCTCAGGTGGGAAAATAGGGGAATCCGACATCCCAATTTGCAGAGCAGATTGAGGATAGGTAGAGTTCGTGGAAATGACGGAAAGGGCACCTGAATATTGAATGTTTGAACTCCCCGACAGGACCAAACACAGACCTCTTCGTTGAAAGTTTCTACCCACGTTCTGCAACTTCATCACCTTGCTCTTCATCCTCCTCTACAGCATGTCGGACCCAATCCTCCCGCCCGAGATAGAATATACAATCTTCATGGGTGCACTTGCGATCAAAGGCACCAGTGAAAGTGCCGGAAATCTCGTGTTGGTAGCAAGACGAGTTCACATGTGGTATGTCAATTCCATTCTTCTCTTAACAACCACCTTGACGATCAAATCATCGTGCTTAAAGGCTCATCCCAAAAATCATGGAAACCTTTGCCATCCGTACATACCCACCAGCTCAAAACTACCCAGTCTCTTGGTCCGTCGATACTCTCGTAAAATATGGCGTTCACACTCGAAATCTCTTCGTTTGGACTTCCCCATACCCTTCCTCTCCTTCCTACGATCCTCTAGCTTCCAAATACATCTCACTCTGTCCTAACCTAACCAACCTCGTCCTCTGGTCAGCTCATTCGATGGAGATACCATACGCCCAACTCGAGGAGATCGCACATCTCCATTCTCTAACCCATCTCTCAATCAATTTGAAGAAAATCCCAAGCTTAGCTTGGGAGAATTCCACACTCCTCCGAGTTTTCGAGAAGATTACACACCTGCATAATGTGGCGCTTATCGATTCCTCAGATGATATCACCTTGTTCAACCACTTTACCTCTCTCACGCACCTCACCTTCCCATACCTGAGTGACGAAGCTTTCATCCCTCTTTTTTTGACGAGCCTCCCCACATTAGAAGCGCTGATCGTCTTGGAAAACCATTACAATGGCGTCGATAGTATGTCGGTTAGACATGATTGTCCATTGAGCGTGGACGATCCAAGAATCGTGAAGATCGCCTGTCAGTCTCAGGCTGAAAAGGAGTTGGATGAGTGGTTATTGCAGGTTCAGGAAGGACAGGGTATCTGGGGATTAGCAGATCAGGCGATTCGAGAAGGTCAGAAGCAAAAAGGGCAGTTGTAGTTGCCGAGGAAGATAAATGAATGCGCTCACCGAGACAAAATACAATATACCTCGTAGTATTGAATATATATGCAGAAGGCGCTCATCTAACTCGACGAAATCTACGGTACCTACCTCGAGATCATGCTTGCATCACAAATCTCATTCCAAACACCCGCCATCGTGAAAAACAACCTTTAAGTATCCGAAGACACCGAGAGGGATTCGAACCCTCGATTCTTGGGATGCGCATAGACCTATGCGGTCTCAATTGTGATTCCACTTCACCATCAGTGTTCAGAGGTACAAAGAATCTCCACAGAACACAAGTGGTATGGTACTGTCATAGACAAATGGACTTGGAAAAGAGGTATGATGGAGAACAGGACGGCATTAACCAGTACCTTTTCCAATGTCAGCTGGTATGCCCGATATGCTCCCCCTCCGCTGTGGCAAGAAAGGTTCCGGATTGAATTTATCAAACGCTGAAGGTACTCACCATTGGTGCACACGTCTTGCGACTAGGACGAGATTGATTGGAAACGGATCGAGGTATTGTTGGAGGGGCGGAGTATTCCAATAATCCAATTGCGACAGTCTACCTCTATCGAAGGGTATCAGAGAGTTCATTTGTACCTCCATCCTGGACCGTCAGCCTTTTCCTCATTTAAACCACCTCCTCCGCCGCCCCCCATACCCCTCGTCCGTTTATGACATACGCTAGCCAATCATCGGTGAGTCCAAAGGCACGTTCCATGAAGACTACTCGAGGATCATCTTTATCGGGGTTGAACTTCAACACCAAAGGCTCCGTTCCAACTCGATCAACGCTGTAGTAAACCAGGATCTGTAATTTGGGTACCTTGTCGAAGACGAGAGGGCTTATGGTGAAGTTTAAAACTCGAAAAGCGAGGTGCGTAAGGGATGGGAAGTGGTCCAGTGGTAGGACACTCTCTCCAAGGAAATTGGGGTGGCGTAGATGCGTCACTTGGGAAAATGCTTCTGCAACCTCAGGAATACGTGGCATGTCATTAATACTCATGCATAAGTGAGTAAGGGGAAGTCGAGAGATCCCTTTGATCTCGACCTTGCGGCTTCGTGACCAGAAAAGTAGGTTGGTAACACCTGAGCAAAGGGAGAGGGGTAGAGTTTGTAGTTTTTCCAGTGAGTACCAGAAGGCTTCGGGAAGCGGACGACGAACTCACCATTAGTGCACACGCTTTCCTCCCAGGATGAGATTGATCGGAAATGGAATGAGATACTGCTGTTCTAACTCAGAGGTGAAAATGAGGTGTTCGATTTCTCGAGGGAAGATAGGATTCAACAGGTTGCACTGCGTGTTGACAGTGCAGATGGAGGAGACGCGTGTTTGGTTTGCTCGTGGGATCCAAATAGTTGCCGGACCATCGGCATCGTGATTTGGCACCGTAGCGCTGCACCTCCAAGGAACCATTATTTCAGTAACATGTCAGACGCGATCTTTCCACCTGAGATCGAGCATGTCATCTTCTTAAATGCACTCGCACTCAAGGAAAACGGTGAGAGTCCGATCAACCTCATCTTGGTTGCAAAACGGGTTCACTCGTGGTGTGCCGACTTTCCGATTTTGAAAGCGTATCACCACAGCTGACGCCCATCGATTGGTCAAAGGCTCATACCCCAGATCATGAAGACATTCGCGCTAACCACCCTACCACCGGTCCAGAAATACCCTTTCCCATGGGATGTCCATACACTCCATACCCACGGAAAACATGTCCGGAATCTCTTCATCTGGAAAAGCGACCACCACACGCCCAATCTCGGCTCCCTAGCATCTCATCTAATATCCCTCTGCGCTAACATCACCGACCTAGTTCTTTGGACAAAAGGTTCAAGCTTATCCGGAATCGAACTTGAACAAATATCCCGCCTCGATCATCTAACACACCTCTCCATTAATTTAAGCAAAGTCCCTAAATCGGCTTGGGAAAAACCCGAACTTGCTCAAACGTTTTCGAGAATCACTCACCTGGAGAATGTAGCGGATATCGAAACCAATGAGGATCTCATCGTATTCGAACATTTTATTTCAATCACGCATCTGGCGATTTCGGGTTGTGGGCAGGATATCCTCCTCCTACTCTTTACGAGACTCCCCATGTTGGAAGCATTGATACTTTGGGATGTCGACGATCGTGATACACTGATGGTTGTGGATCAATTCAATCCCAACGAGGACGATCCGAGAGTTGTGAAGGTAGCTTGTGCAGCTGGTGGCGACGTGGACGCATGGTTATCGGAGGTTCAGAAAGGACAGGGTATGTGGGGATTAGCGGATCAGGCTGTTCGGGAGCGTCAAAAGCTCAAGGCCGCGTTGCAAAACAAAGTAGATTAGGTAGACCAGATATTGGATATGTGTGAGATTTAGTTTCCGTTCGTTGTGGTTCAGCGTCAGCACCAGCAGCGCTTGCAGTCCTAATAGGTAGAACTTCAGCTTCACCTCCCGATGACGAAGAGCCCGCTGAAAACGGGGCAGCTTCGCAAGCGGATCGAACAACCCCTCCCGCTCCTGTTACTACTTCTCGTCCGCTTTCAGCGGAGGCAGAACCCCAACCATTCGAATAACCGATACCCATGTCTATCCCTTCTTATCCCTCCGCTCTCCCAACCCTTCAACCGATAGACGACGAGTACCATGCATAGCTCGAGACTCAAACATAGTCGCGTTTCTAAGCGTTCATGATCTGGAAAAGTCACCTTCAAGTTGAAGGCGTAAGAGCCTGGGTCCCTCCTTCGCTGGACACTATGCGGGTTCGTCAGTCAGACTAGGAGTATCGAATACCAATAGAACGTACCTAGATCAACTGGTGAAATAACGCCCATTATGCTCGGACGCTGGGTATCAAGGACAAGTATGTACATATGCCACGAATTCCTTGTTCTGGGAAAATTGAATATCAGCATCAAAAGCGACAGCCGCGAGGAAAAAGAGGAAAGTTGAAGGCAGATTGATGACGTCGAGAAGTCACCAGTCAAGCGAGATATGAATCTGGTTGACATTGCCATTTGGACATAGTCTATCGAGAACCAGCTGGCGTGGAGTCTTGTACACGCTGTAGAGGGATATCCTCGAACACAGACTGGACACATCACCGTGTTAGGCAGTTCCTGAGATTGGAAAATTCAAACTTGAGTGTGCATTCAACACGGATATTGATTGGATATGTATGATAACAGACAGCGTAATCTAAAGGTGTCGTGTTAGGGACCAAAAACGAAGGATCTACGGACGACACAGAGCAACGACGAACCTTATAAGTTATAACCTTCTACGGCTGCTGGTTCAGCCCTCCCCCCGCTGGTTCTTCTGCGAAAATGTCAGGACCTGCGAATCCCCCTCAGACCGAACTGGGCGAATCATAAAACCTGGACGAAGAAACGGTCAGAATATGATTTAACGAGAACGTGGACAGCAGGAGAGGGTGGAAAGGTGGGATGGAAAAGCGCAAAGGACGTACGGGGACAGTTGGGCAGGGTATATGCGCCCTGGTTGTCCGATTTGACCCCGCTTAGCTATGGTAGCCAAGTGGCCACATAAACTCGCCACTCATGGTCAATAAACCAAGTGTTGACGAGAATTCTAGCGGGGGATGTTAAGAGATGATAGGAAAAGGAAGATACAGAGGCCGACGACGGGAAATGGGAAGAGTCATAGCAATGACGAATGTCAACCCCCATGAATGACACGAAGTCAGGAGGTATTGAGCGAGGTGAAGAAGAACTCGAAGTCAAAATAAAAACATGAAAAAAGACATGAACATAGAAAGCATATCCCAGAAGGACTTACCTAGACCAATGTGAACCTCTGAGTAATGAGTCCCTGGTCTCGCTCCTCTTGCTGGGTTCTCGGTCCAAACGCCACCATCTTGACGCAAGTGTTCAAGCTCTACACGATAACATGATCAGAAATCGTAACGGATAGAATGAAAGGACACAACGCACGACTATAACCAAGCAACTGTCAACGTATATCTTCCGATTTGGCCAAGGGAAGAAAATTGGTAATGTAGTCCCAACGAAGTCGCTAGACATACCGTTCAGTTGGTTCGGCGCACTGGGCGCTCGACGAGTTTCGGCTAATGAAAGGACATTAGAATACGAACGGACGAAAAAGAATACGCCGCACTTGGTTGTGGTCCTTGGCTGTCAGAATGCGTCCCATTCTAGAGCATTGTCCAATTTGCCTTCTCCTAGATTTCGAGGGTTGAAAGACCACCTGTTAGTTGACGTTGGTGTTTTCTTAGAGAGCGGTTCGAAGGAGTGGAGTTTGAATCTCACTACGATTGCCCATAGCCGGAGCGAAGGCAGAACAGTGTGCGGTTGCAATGTTGAGATGTTGCAGGCCAATCGGGAATGCCCGATGTTTGGCAACACCATCAGAACCAAGCCGGAATCAAGCCGGAATCGTGATGTCGAACCTGGAGACGCTCGTCCCCACACCTGGCGGCTCACAGCTTACGATGACTCTAAGCTAATATCCCTCACAGATGCACATGGGTCCCAGTCCAGGCTCTTAGCTCTTTTGGTCTGGTTCGTATCTGCGTCAATAGCTAGTCGGATCTCCGAACTATCTTTTTTTATACTTAAGATGCAAGATACCCAGGTGGACGGACCTCGGCTATGGGAGTAGCATATATGTGACGCCAAGGCCCCCACTGTGAGTAGCATTGATGTATCCATTCATATCGTCCTCCATATTATTGGTCTATTCTCCCTTTCAACCTCCTATCTACGTTGTTGCATGAAACTCAGAAGATCTCGAGATGTGCATATATAAAGGTTTTCTTCGTTCTGCATCACGCCTAGGACTTCGAATGGAGGTAATTTATGTTCCTTTATTCAACGGCAGACGGTTCATTTTGATGCTCATCAAACAGCACGACTGACACCTTGTGAACGTTCTATTCCATGCCCATTGATATTACTATCTTCGGCAACCAGCCCTCAAGTACGAAAATGAAGGCTGCTGGCATCTGCTCATTCCAAATGCTCGATGGATAAAATTCTCCCCGGTGGACAGGAGGTGTGCACCGTTCTGGCATCTATTCGTTCTCACTTCCATAAATGCTATGCCTCAGTAAATGTATTCTATTCAATTCCAATTGATACACTTCGGCTTAAAAATGGAGTTGGTTGCTGTATTTAATGGCAGACTTCAACGATGCTTCCTTAGCATTCGTATCCTATAGCACTTGCCCACTTCGCCACACACACTCACATCCAACTCTTGAACGTCCCCACTGGTGCCGTACTTA